GCCACGGGGTCCAGTTCACCCTGCAAATGACCCCAGGGCCCAGCTCTGAGCCAGGCAGGGCAGGACCTCGGTGTCCCAGAGAGTGGAGGGGAGAGGGGACACTTACGGTTGGAACATGCCTCCCTCGACGGCTTCTGGGCCGCGTGGCCCGGGCACTCATTGCTGTCCAGAAGCCAATGCCCTCTGAATGCTTCTCCTTCGTCACCCCCTAATTGCCTTCGTTGTCCAGGACAAAGGACAACCTCAATTTCCTCTGCAGTGAAGTGGGGCATTGACTACTCCTCTGGAAGGGATTTTGTTATCAAGGTTGATTGAGCACATTTGAATGCCTCCCCGGACAGGCAGCTCACTACCTAACAAGGCTGTCCTGACCTCCCCCTTCTCTGCCTTCTTTACCTTCACTACCTTTGTCCCCTTCCCTCCTCTATTTGCGCCTGAGAAGGAAACCTCAAGAATTCCCTCTCCTCCCGGGCCCTCCCAAATGAGGGGTTCAGGTCTCTCTACCTCTCTGATCCTCTGGGGGGAACTTGATCAGAGGCGTGAGTCCCTGGATACTGTCTTGGGGTCACTTTGGCCACTGCCTGTTCAGGCCTGGGCTGGCCAAGCTTGGCCTGGGAGGGGCCGGGAAACAGGAAACGCCCTCCCCTGGTCACATGACGTGTTATTGTGTTGTTTCCTTTTTGAGGACAGTGGTTTCCTGCAGCCCTAGTGGGGCATGCATACCTGACTCCCAAGGTTTCAGCCCCCCTCATCTCAGCCTCCAAGCCCACGGCCCTTCCACCTCTCGTTTTTTTTGAGACAGGATCTCGCTTTATCGCCTAGGCTGAAGTGCAGTGGTGTGATCTTGGTTCACTGCAACTTCTGCCTCCCGGGTTCAAGCGATTCTCCTGCCTCAGCCTCCCAAGTAAATGGGATTACAGGCACGTGCCACCACATGCAGCTAATTTTGTATTTTTAATAGAGAGGGGGTTTCTCCGTGTTGGTCAGGCTGGTCTCGAACTCCCGACCTCAGGTGATCTGCCCACCTCAGCCTCCCAAAGTGCTGGGATTACAGATGTGAGCCACTGCTCCTGGCCCACCTCTGACTCTTGGATTTTATTTCTCAAGAGCTAGAACGGGCTGAGCACCAAGGCTCACACCTGTAATACCAGCATTCTGGGAAGCTTAGGCGGTTGATCACTTGAGCCCAAGAGTTTGAGATCAGCCTCAGCAACATGGCAAGACCCCTGTCTCTACAAAAAATACAAAAATTTGCCAGGAGTAGTGGTATGCAGTAATAGCCTGTAGTTCCAGCTATTTGGGAGGCTGAGGCAGGAGGACTGCTTAACACCTGGAAGTGGAGGCTGCAGTGAGCCATGGTCATGCCACTTGACTCCAGTCTGGGTAACAAGGTGAGACCCTGTCTCAAAAAGAAAGAAAGAAAAGAGCTAGAATGTTCCCCTGAGCTGATGGTTTTCATCTGGCTCACCTGTGAACTCCTTGTTATAAGTAAAATTTCGGGCCGGAGGTGATGGCTCACGCCTGTAATCCAAGCATTTTGGAGGCCAAGGCAGGCAGATCACCTGAGGTCGGGAGTTCAAGACCAGTCTGACCAACATGGTGAAACCCTGTCTTTAAAAAAAAAAAAAAGATGCCATTGCACTCCAGCCTTAACAGGAGCACAACTTTGTCTCAAAAAAAAAAAAAAAAAAAAAAAAAAAGAAAGAAAAAGAAAAAAGAAAAAAATAAAAAGTAAAATTTCGATGCCAAAAAAGAAATAGCCTCTCAGCAAGGCAGTTTACTTCTACAGAAGGAGCAATGGCCTCACACCTGGACAAGGTGGGAAGGGGTACCTGTGCCTGATGGGGGTCACCCCTACTGCTGTGTTGTTCCGCTATTGGCTAGGGTTACACCGCACAAGCTAGACTAATCCCGATTGGCTATTTTAAAGAGAGCAGGGGTCTGAGCTGGATGGCAGGGTGGGTGTTTTAGTGGGAAGGATGGTTACAGGCGGGTCAGAGCAGGTAGCCAGGGGTGACCTAGGTCAAAGTAGGTGACCGGGATGAGTCAGGAAGGAGCCAGGGGTGGGGAGGGGGGCAGGAAGCAGATGTGAACTGCTGATTAGAACTGGTGGAGAAGGTTGTTTACTGGAATTACAAGGAAGTTAAGCTTTAAAATAGGGAATTAAAGAATAAAAGAGCTGAACGTACTGACATACGGATTCTTTGAAGAGAAACTTGGGGTTCGCTGTAACATCCTCTTCTCTGCCTGTCTCTTCTTCATTGTGGGGTGTTTTTTTTTTTTTTTTTTTTGAGACAGTGTCTCTTTCTGTCACCCAGGTTAGAGTGCAGTGGCCCCATCTCGGCTCACTGCAACCTCTGCCTCCCAGGTTCAAATGATTCTCCTGCCTCAGCCTCCCGAGTAGCCAGGATTACAGGCGCCCACCACCACACCCAGCTAATTTTTTGTATTTTTAGTAGAGATGGAGTTTCACCATGTTGGCCAGGCTGGTCTCGAACTCCTGACCTCAAGTGATCTGCCGGCCTTGACCTCCCAAAGTGCTGGGATGACAGACCTCAGCCACTGCACCAGGGCTTGCACTTAGCTTGAATTGTGGAGTCTGATTCTTCCTGCCCATATGTCTTCCCAGAAAAGAGGGGTGAGGAGAGAAGTTAGAATTTTCAGACTTGAGAGTCCCTAAGGGGACTGAACTCTGCACTCTTAGCCACTGCTCCAGGCACATTAACCTGTCAGAGTCCCCAAGACAACTCTAGGGCTCTTTGAAGGCTCTAGGCCTTTGCCCAGGCAGTTCCTTCTGCCTGGAATGCTGTTCCTCCTGTTGTTCTTCTGGCAAGTTCTTCATCTTTAAGGATCAGCTTAGTCCCTCCTGGCTATTCTCAAATTAGAGCCTGGCCAATGTGGTCGGCTTCTTTGACCCTTTAAAAAATAAACTGAGGGGCCAGGTGTGGTGCCTCATGCCTGTAATCCCGGCACTTTGGGGGGCTGAGGAGAGTGGATCACAAGATCAGGAATTCCAGACCAGCCTGGACAAGATGGTGAAACCCTATCTCTACTAAAAATACAGAAATTAGCTGGGCGTGGTGGTATGCACCTGTAGACCCAGATACTCGGGAGGCTAAGGCAGAAGAATTGCTTGAACCCGGGAGGTGGAGGTTGCAGTGAGCCGAGATTGTGCCACTGCACTCCAGCCTGGGCGACAGAGTGAGATTCTGTCTATAAATAAATTAATTAATAATACTTCTGGGGCTGGCCTTGTGCAGTGGCTAATGCCTGTAATTCAATACTTTGAGAGGCTAAGGCACATGAATCACCCAAGGTCAGAAGTTCAAGACCAGCCTAACAACATGGCAGGAACCCATCTCTAGCCAGGCACAGTGGCTCACGCCTGTAATCCCCAGCTCTTTGGGAGGCCGAGGCGGGCGGCTCACGAGGTCACGAGTTTGAGAGCACCTTGACCAACATGGTGAATCCTCGTCTCTACTAAAAACACAAAAATTAGCTAGGCGTGGTAGCACGTGCCTGTAATCCCAGCTACTCAAGAGGCTGAGACAGGAGTACTGCTTTAAACCGGGAGGTGGAGGTTGCAGTGAGCTGAGATCATGCCATTGCACTCCAGACTGAGCGACAGAGTGAGACTCTCTCTTGGAAAAAAACAAAAACCCTCTCTACTAAAAATACCAAACAAAAAAAATTATCCAGGCATGGTGGCGCATGCCTGTAGTATTCCCAGCTACTTGGGAGTCTGAGGCAGGAGAATCACTTGAACCCTGTAGGGCACAGGTTGCATTGAGCCGAGATTGAGCCACTGCACTCCAGCCTGGGCGACAGAGCAAGACTTTGTCTCAAAAAATAAAAATAAATAAATACTTCTGGGGATAAGGGGGACGTGTGCATTAAGAAAGAAGACAACGGTAGCCTGGGCGACAGAGCGAGACTCAGACTGAAAAAAAAAAAAAAAAAGGAGGCCGGGCGCGGTGGCTCACCCCTGTAATCCCAGCACTTTGGGAGACCGAGGCGGGTGCATCACGAGGTCAAGAGATAGAGACCATCCTGCCAAGATGGTGAAATCCGTCTCTACTAAAAATGCAAAAATTAGCTGGGCATGGTGATGCACGCCTGTAGTCCCAGCTACTGGGGAGGCTGAGGCAGGAGTAACGCTTGAACCCAGGAGGTGGAGGTTGCAGTGAGCCGAGATCGTGCCACTGCACTCCAGCCTGGTGACAAAGTGAGACTCCGTCTCGAAAAATAAAAAAAGAAAAGAAAGAAACAAGGCTGGTTTAGCCTGATGCGGTGGTTATCGTTATCGCCTGTAGTCCCAGCTACGTGAGAGATGGCTTGTGTCCAGAAATTCCAGGCCTGTAACGACAAGCCATCATCACGTGACTGAAACTCTAGTTTGGGCTACAGAGCGATCCCTGTCTCTAAAAATAAGAACGAAAAAAGGCATGAAAAAGGAGGCAGGCTTGAAACAGGCCCGACTTAGTTCCCCACCACCTACAATGACCCAATAAGACCAGAGTTAAATATTTTTCGTCATGCAAATCTATGTAAAATAAGGAGCAGGAATTAAGTAATTGGGAGGGACCCTGGAAGCTCAGGCCACGCCCACGTGGAAATACCTGCCCCACGCGGAAGCTCAGGCCATCTCCACTAATCACCAATTAGCTCCTCCCCTCTCCCTAAATCGGCCTTTTCCATCCGTCTGAGCCGATCACATTGCAACCTCCACCCCTATTCCACGTTTCAGCCTGTCACGGTAGAAGCACTGACAATTGTAGTCTGATTCGGCCAAAACCAAAAATTCACTCTATTTTTTTATCCAATCATATTTCATACTTTGCTCCAGTGTAGCCGGTCCCACCCAGCTCCTGCTAGTCTGTCGCACTCCAAACCCCACTCGCAGCGCAGTTTCCGCCTATCAGCTTCCAAGTCCTTCCTAGCCTAAACCAGTTTCTCTCTCCGCTTGCTCTGCGGCCCGCTGAACTACATTTCCCAGGAGGCGTCGGGGCTGCGACGCACAACTTCCGGTTGAAAAGATGGCGGCTTCCTAGAGAGTCGGCGGCTGATTTGGAGGGAGGTTCAGGCTACGGTGAGCCCGAGTTGGGTGGAGAAAGCGTGCGGGGCCGGTTCCTAGGGGCCCAGCTCCCTTTTCCCCAAGAGATCCAGCTCCTCGCCTTCCCTGGGGCTTTCGCCTTTATTTCTGTTTTCTCCTGCAGTCTAGCCTCCAGCCTTCTTGCTGCCGCTAAAGCTTTGTTTTCCTTAGAGGTGTAGGGGCTGCAAGGCTCTCAAAGACCATCTTGAGAAGCCCGTGCCTATTACCCAGATAGACAAACTGCTTAATTAGCGTCCTTGTCTCCAAGGGGAGCCGCAACACTATAATTATTTTGCTTCTCCCTCATGCAGACACCCGCTAGGCACGAGGGTGTCCCAAGACATTTTCAGTTTATTTATTCACCAAGACATTTTCAGTTTTAGGTAACAGAAAACCCTACTTAATCTGGCTTAAGCAAGAAAGGGAAGTTAGTAGTTTATAGATTGGGTCTAATAGGAGCTGGGTCCAGGTGGTCGGAATTCGATCTGCAGTTTTCTAGGTGGGGACCATTTCGCTTTTTACCTTAGAGGCAAAAAGAGGCCCCTCGCAGCTCCGAAGTTTATTCTCCCAGTTCTGCAACTCTAAGGAGAGTCTCTTTTCCTTGATGGCACTGCTGGAAGTTCCAGAGCTGCCACTTAATGGCCTGGTTTGGGTCATGTGCCCATCTCTGAGCCTTTTTTCAGTGGCCAGAGAGCTGGGATTAGCAACTGGCCAAGTAGGGGCATGGGGCTACCACTGCGTTAAATTAAGATGGGGGACTGTTATCTTTTGTGGGCGAGGCTGCTCGGCTGATGTATGTAAAAGGCACCCATTCTACAACTAGGGAAACTGACTCCCTAAGATGAGTGACTCATCATCAATAAGCATCTCATGGCCCCTCTTCCTTCTTAGTAACCAAAAAAAATTTTTTTTGAGACGGAGTTTCGCTCATGTTGCCCAGGCTGGAGTGCAGTGGCACGATCTTGGCTCACTGCAACCTCCACCTCCGAGGTTCAAACGATTCCTCTGCCTCAGCCTCCTGAGTAGCTGGGATTATATGCATTCACCACCACGCCCGGCTAATTTTGTCTTTTCAGTAGAGATGGGGTTTCTCCATGTTGACCAGGCTGGTCTCAAACTGCTGACCTCAGGTGATAAGCCCACCTTGGCCTCCCAAAGTGCAGGGATTACAGGCACGAGCCACCGAGCCCAGCTGTAACCAAATGTTTTTAAAACTCCCAAGGGGAGGATTCTGGCTTCCCCTGTCTGTGTCCCATCCAGCCACACAGGAGCCATGGAAGTGGCAGAGCCCAGTAGCCCCACTGAAGAGGAGGAGGAAGAAGAGGAGCACTCGACAGAGCCTCGGCCCCGAACTCGCTCCAATCCCGAGGGGGCTGAGGACCGGGCAGTGGCGGCCCAGGCCAGTGTGGGCAGCCGCAGCGAGGGTGAGGGTGAGGCTGCCAGTGCTGATGATGGGAGTCCCAGCACTTCAGGAGCCGGGCCTAAGTCCTGGCAGGTGCCCCCACCGGCCCCTGAGGTCCAGATTCGGACACCAAGGGTCAACTGTCCAGAGAAGGTGGTAAGTAGAGGGTGTGGCCTGGGACTCTGAGATGCTAGGGAATCTAGCATCTTGTCTTTTGGGATTCACTCTGCAAACATTCCCTTTGTATTAGTTACCTGTGGCTGCCACAAGTCACCACGGACTTGGTGATTTGTCAACAAGAGAAATTTATTTTCTCACAGTTCCTGGAGCCAGAAGTCAGGTGTTGGCAAGGCCACGCCTCCTCTGGAGGCTCTAAGGCAGGCGTCCCCCAAACTACGGCCCATGGGCCGCATGCGGCCCCCTGAGGCCATTTATCCGGCCCCCCGCCGCACTTAAGGAAGGGGCACCTCTTTCATTGGTGGTCAGTGAGAGGAGCACAGTATGTGGCGGCCCTCCAACGGTCTGAGGGACAGTGAACTGGCCCCCTGTGTAAGAAGTTTGGGGGCGCCTGCTCTAAGGGAGGATTCTTTGTTACTTCTTCTTTCTTTCTTTTTTCTTTTTTTGAGATGGGGTTTTCTCTTGTTGCCCAGGCTGGAGTGCAATGGCGCAATTTCGGCTCCCTGCAACCTCTGCCTCCTGGGTTCGGGCAATTTTCCTGCCTCAGCCTCCCAAGTAGCTGGGGTTACAAGCATGCTCCACCATGCCTGGGTAGTTTTGTCTTTTTAATAGAGACGGGGTTTTACCACGTTGGCCAGGCTTGTCTCGCTCGAACTCCTGACCTCAGGTGATTTGCCTGCCTCAGCCTCCCAAAGTGCTGGAATTACAGGCGTGAGCCACCGTACCCAGCCCTTTCTTGCCTCTTCTAGCCTCTGGTGGCTCCTGGCATTCCTTGGCTTGTGGTTGCATCACTTTAGTCTCTGCCCAATTCTGTCCAGTCCTCATAAAGCCTTTCTCACTGTGCCTTCTCCACTTCTTACTCCTATAAGAACACTTGTCGCCGGGCGCGGTGGCTCAAGCCTGTAATCCCAGCACTTTGGGAGGCCGAGGCGGGTGGATCACGAGGTCAAGAGATCGAGACCATCCTGGTCAACATGGTGAAACCCCGTCTCTACTAAAAATACAAAACATTAGCTGGGCATGGTGGCACGTGCCTGTAATCCCAGCTACTCAGGAGGCTGAGACAGGAGAATTGCCTGAACCCAGGAGGCGGAGGTTGCGGTGAGCCGAGATCGCGCCATTGCACTCCAGCCTGGGTAACAAGAGCGAAACTCTGTCTCAAAAAAAAAAAAAAAAAAAAAAAAAAGAACACTTGTCATCAAAACAAGATGTTATCTCAAGACCCTTCCCTGAATGACATCTGCAAAGACCCTGATTCTAAATAAGATCACATATTCTTTTTTTTTTTTTGAGATGGAGTCTCACTCTATCGCTCAGGCTAGAGTGCAGTAGTGCGATCTCCGCTCACTACAACTGCAACTTCCACTTCCTGGGTTCAAGCAGTTCTCCTGCCTCAGCCTCCTGAGTAGCTGAATTACAGGCACACAACACCACGCCCAGCTGATTTTTGTGTTTTTTAGTAGAGATGAGGTTTCACCTTGTTGGCCAGGCTGGTCTCTATCTTCTGACCTCATGATCTGCCCACCTCAGCTTCCCAAAGTGCTCAGATTACAGGCTTGAGCCACCTGTACCCAGCCTCTTCTTTTTTTTTTTTTTTTTTTTGAGACAGAGTTTCACTCTGTTGCCCGGGCTGGAGTGCAGTGGCGCAATCTGGGCTCACTGCAGCCTCCCCCTCCCAGGTTCAAGTGATTCTCTTCCCGTGTAGCTAAGATTACAGGCACCCGCCACCACGTCCTGCCATTTTAAATATTTTTAGTAGAGACAGGGTTTCGCCGTTTTGGCCAGGCTGGTCTCAAACTCCTGACCTCAACTGCTCTGCCTACCTTGGCCTCCCTAAGTGCTGGGATTACAGGTGTGAGCCACTGTGCCCAGCCAAATCAGGTCACATTCTGAGGATCTGGGTGGACATGTCTTTTGGGAGCCACAGTTTGACCCACTGTATCTTTCTTACTGTGTTCCTGTGTCACACATTCTCTGGATCATTTGTTTGTTCACCTACTGGGACTCCCAGTTCAGTGCCCTTTCATCTAAGCCATTGCTTTCCAAATTGCATGGCTTGGCCGGGGATTGGGGGTCATCACACTGCCTTTTCAGACAGGGCTGCATGAAGAGGGCCAGTGAGTGGTGTGGGGGCCAGCATTAAGATCAGAGGACACTCACTACCCTTCAACTACCTTGCAGATTATCTGCCTGGACCTGTCAGAGGAAATGTCACTGCCAAAGCTGGAATCATTCAACGGGTAAGAGGGACGTTTTCGGGCTTGGACATAGCAGTGATGGCTGGGAGGGGCCAGCCCAAAAGATACAGGGCTGTCACTCTGAAACACACACCAGCTTGGTCTGGCTTCAGGCTTGGCAGTATCGGAGAGTAACAAGGGCCAGGCGCAGTGGTTCATGCCTGTAATCCCAGTGACGGGAGGCTGAGGTAAGAGGATCACTTGAGGCTAGGGGTTCAAGACTAGGCTGGGCAACACGGACCCTGTCTCTAAAATTTGAGACAGTGTGTTGCTGTCTTGGCCAGGCTGGAGTGCAGCTCACTGCAACCCCTGCCTCCCGAGTTCAAGTGATTCTTGTGCCTCAGCCTCTGGAGTAGCTGGGATTACAAGCATGCACCACTATACCCGGCTAATTTTTGTATTTTTAGTAGAGACAGAGTTTTGCCATGTTGGCCATGGTGGTCTCAAAACTCCTGATCTGAAGTCATCTGCCTGCCTTGGCCTCCCAAAGTCCTGGGATTACAGGCATGAGCCACCGCACCAGGCCTCTAAAAGTTTTTTTTTTTTTTTTTTTTTTTTTGAGACAGAGTCTTGCCCTGTCGTCCAGGCTGGAGTGCAGTGGCTTGATCTCGGCTCACTGCAACCTCTGTCTGTTGGGTTCAAGTGATTCTCCTCCCTTAGCCTCCTGAATAGCTGGGACTGCAGGCACATGCCACGATGCCTGGCTAATTTTTGTATTTTTAGAAGAGATGGAGTTTCACCATGTTGGTAAGGCAGATCTCGAACTCCTGACGTCATGATCCGTCCACCTCAGCCTCCCAGGTGCTGGATTACAGGCGTGAGCCCACTGTGCCTGACCCTCTCTAAAAGTTTTTTTTGTTTTTGTGTTTTTTTGAGATGGAGTCTTGCTCTGTCACCCAGGCTGGAGTGCAGTGGCACTATCTTGGCTCACTGCAACCTCCACCTCCCAGGTTTAAGGGATTCTCCTGTCTCAGCCCCTGCCATTGCATTCCAGCCTGGGCAAGAAAAGCGAAACTTTGGGCTGGGTGCAGTGGCTTATGCCTGTAATCTCAGCACTTTGGGAGGTCTACATGGGTGGGTCATGAGGTCAGGAGATCGAGACCATCCTGGCCAACATGGTAAAACCCCGTCTCTACTAAAATACAAAAAAATTAAGCCAGGCGTGGTGCCATGCACCTGTAGTCCCAGCTACGCAGGAGGCTGAGGCAGGGGAATCACTTGAACTCGGGCAGTGGAGGATGCCGTGAGCCGAGATCATGCCACTGCATTACAGCCTGGGTGACAGAGCAAGATTCCATCTCAAAAAAAAAAAAAAAAAAAAAAAAAAACAGATATTGAGATGACAGGTCCTTCCCTAGTGTGGCACTCGCAACTGCCCATGGCTGAGCAAAGTTCCTACAGTGACTCTAGAGGGACCTTGAGCCCCATGCTGCGCAGAGGGACCCATTTGGAGAGGGCAGGCACTCCGATGTCAGCCAGACCCAGGTTCTGGCTCAGCCCCGCCACCCCAGTGCAGTGTAACCTGTACCTCCAAGGCCTTATTGTGGGGCTGGCGCTGGGTTCTGAGATGAGCGTAGCTGAGGGAACCTTCGTTCCCCTCCACTCTCTGCCTCCCCAGCTCCAAAACCAACGCCCTCAACGTCTCCCAGAAGATGATAGAGATGTTCGTGCGGACAAAACACAAGATCGACAAAAGCCACGAGTTTGCGCTGGTGGTGGTGAACGACGACACGGCCTGGGTGAGGCTGCGGCAGGCGCGGGCGGCCCTGCGGTCCCCTGGGGACCGGGGAGCACCGCGCTGAGGCCTCTGCTTCCCTGCAGCTGTCTGGCCTGACCTCCGACCCCCGAGAGCTCTGCAGCTGCCTCTATGATCTGGAGACGGCCTCCTGTTCCACCTTCAGTATCCTTCTTGGCAGGGGTGTCCCAGTGAAGGGGACTGTCCCCTCCTTCATCCTTGGGCCCCGGGAAAGTCTGAGTCATGACTCGGGATGGCTGAGGTTCAGATCCCAGTTCTGCCAAGCCTGGGAAAGTCACCCCTCCGAGCCTCAGTTTCCCCACCTGTACCGTGGAAGGCGCAAAGCTACCTACCCCATGGAGATGCTGTAATAATACAGAAGCAAAAGTACCCGATTTGGGCCGGGCATGGTGGCCCACACCTGTATCTCAGCGACTTGCAAGGCTGAGGCACAGAGTCACTGGAACCCAGGAGGCGGAGGCTGCCTAAGCTGAGATTCGCCACTGCTCTCCAGCCTGTGCAACAGAGTCAGACTCTGTCTTTAAAAAAAAAAAAAAAAAAAAGTCCCTGACTTCTACTCAGGAGGTCCAGAATTCACCCACATGTCCAGCTAGTTTGGTATTTTTTGTACAGATGGGTCTTGCTATGCTGCCCTGGCAGGTTTTGAATTCCTGGGCTCAAGTGATCAGCCCACCCCAGCCTCCCAAAGTGCTGAGATTAGAGGCATGAGCCACCGTGGCCAGCCTCATTCAGTTTCGAAACATAAATTAGATTTTATTCCATCTCTGCTCCGAAACCTCCCATGGCCCCCTGTGGCTCTCATTGTTTATTTATGTATTTATTTTATTTTGAGATGGAGTCTCCCTCTTCTTGCCCAGGCTGGAGTGCAGTGGCATGATCTCAGCTCACTGCAGTCTCCACCTTCTGAGTTTAAGTGATTTTCCTGCCTCAGCCTCCCAAGTAGCTGGGATTATAGGCAGGCGCTACCATACCCGGCTAATTGTGTATTTTTAGTAGAGACAGGGTTTCACCATGTTAGCCAGGCTGGTCTCAAACTCCTGACCTCAGGTGGTCCGCCTGCCTTGGCCTCCCAAAGTGCTGGGATTACATGCATGAGCCACCGTGCCTGGCATAGCAGGGGTCTTAAAGTCATCTGGTGCCAGCACCCTATTCTGTGATCCATGCTGGCCGGAAACCAAGTCTCAGAGAGGGCAGGTAACTTGGCCAGGGTCACACAGTGCATCTCCAGGGGTGCCGGGTCTCGTCTGGCATCGTGATTGGGGAAGCCGCCTGTTCCGGCTCACGCATGCTCTGCTGCCAGCCTTCTCCTTAGCGTCCCCATCAGATCTGGAAGGACTTTTCAGCCTCATGTAAGTTCCCTGTGGGGAAATTCTTACTCACCTTCAACGAGAATGATCACTTCTGGAAGCAGCTCCAAACAGCACAGAAATAATCTAGGGAACCATAAAGCCTCTTCCCTTGTAACCTCGCCCTGAGCGATTCCTCATTTATCTTGGGAGCACGGGTCCCGGTGGGGATGCACGTGCTGCTAGGCAGCTCCAGCTGAGGGCAGTGATGGGGGTTGCTCAGGACACTGAGGGTGGCCCAGGAGCGGTGGCTCACACCCAGAGTCCCAGCACTTTGGAAGGCCGAGGCAGGTGGATCACCTGAGGTCAGGAGTTTAAGACCAGCCTAGCCAACATGGTGAAACCTGGTCTCTACTAAAATCCCAAAAATTAACTGGGCGTAGTGGCGCGTGCCTGTAACTCCAGCTACTCAGGAGGCTGAGGCAAGAGAATCACTTGAACCTGGGAGGCAGAGGTTGCAGTGAGTAGAGATCGTGCCATTACCCTCCAGCCTGGGCAACAAGAGTGAAACTCCATCTCAAAAAAAAAAACAAAAACAAACGGAGGGTGGTGAGAGCAGGCTCCAGCCTCTGGGTCATCGAGGCCTCTCCAGGGCAGCAGCAGAAGCCAGTCCGAGGGTGATGCCGGGAAGGTGCTCAGGGCAGAGGGAGCCACTTATGGGAAGGCTCAGAGGCAGCAGTGAACTGGGGAGCCATCACTGGGGCCTCACCTGCCCGTTGAGCATCTGGCGTCTCTCTGAGGGTGATGAGGGGCAGGTCCCCACAGGCTGCTCTGATCAGTCCCACCTCCCGCCTCTGCAGCCAGCAGAAAACTGAGCTTCCGGTCACAGAGAACGTGCAGACGATTCCCCCGCCGTACGTGGTCCGCACGATCCTTGTCTACAGCCGTCCACCCTGCCAGCCCCAGTTCTCCTTGACGGAGCCCATGAAGGTGAGTGAGGCCTGGGGGAGGGAGGGAGGCCTGCAGCCATGAGGGTGGTGAGACACCACACAGGCTGGGGTGCCTGGAGGCAAGTTTCTGGAGCTAGGGCAGAAATAGGGTTATAGTCATGGGGCTTGGGGTGACCCAAGCCCCAGAGGCTAGTGTTCTTGACTTCCCCTGCAGAAAATGTTCCAGTGCCCATATTTCTTCTTTGACATTGTTTACATCCACAATGGTGCCGAGGAGAAGGAGGAGGAGCTGAGCTGGAAGGTAAGAGGCCGCAGCAGGTGCGGGTGGCAGGCGGGTGTGGACAGATGTTTTGGAACACGCCTGCACTGGGTCTGGGGTCTCCACCTCCATTTGGTGGCCCTGGAGCCCTGGCTACGGTAGGTCATGGGCACTCCGTCATCCAGCAGCTGCTTCTCAGTTGTCGGCTGTGACTGATGGGGTGGGAGCCATTGGGACGATGGTTCCCAGCAACATGCTGAGTCCTGCCTCCCACAACCCCAGCATTCCCTGCTTCCCTTTCTTTTGTTTTTGGAGACCGAGTCTCACTCTGTTGACTAGGCTGGAGTGCAGTGGCACGATCTTGGCTCACTGCAACCTCTGCCTCCTGGGTTCAAGCAATTCTCCCACCTCAGCCTCCCGAGTAGCTGGGATTACAGGTACCCGCCATCATGCCCAGCTAATTTTTGTATTTTTAATAGAGATGGGATTTCATCATGTTGGCCAGGCTGGTCTTGAACTCCTGACCTCAGGTGATCTGCCTGTGTCGGCCTCCCAAAGTGCTGGGATTGTAGGCATGAGCCACAGTACCCCGCCCCTTCTTCCCTTTCTTCCTGCTTTTGACCTCGCTGTGCCCTCAGCTTGGAACACCCATTCCTCTTGGAGCCCAGGCCCTGTTGGGCCTTCGCATCCCAGACCTGAACTAGCTGTAGTACTTGAGTGGGACTTACTTCTCTGAGCCTCAGTTTACCCATCTATGAACAGGGGAAACTGTGACTAGCTCCTCCTTATACCTCAATACCCAAATCAAAAGTCCGTCCTCTAGTCTGGGCGCAGTGGCTCACGCCTGTAATCCCAACACTTTGGGTGGCCAAGGCAGGCAGATCATAAGGTCAGGAGTTTGAGACCAGCCCGGCCAAGATGGTGAAACCCCATTTCTACTTAAAATACAAAAATTAGCCAGGTGTGGTGACAGGCACCTGTAGTTGCAGCGACTTGGGAGGCTGAGGCAGGAGAATCACTTGAGCCTGGGAGGCAGAGGTTGCAGTGAGCCGAGATCATGCCACTGCACTCCAGCCTGGGCGACAGAGCAAGACTCCATCTCAACAAAAAAAAAAAAAAAAAAAAAAAAAAAAGTCCCTCCTCTATCTAGCTGGGCATGGTGGTGTATGCCTGTGGTCCCACATATTTGGGAGGCTGAGGCAGGAGACTTGCTTGAGCCCAAAAGACAGAGATTGCAGTGAGCTGTGATCAAGCCACTGCACTCTAGCCTGGGCAACAGAGCAGAGACCCTATGTCAAAAAATAAATAGTGCCTCCTCTGAGAAGCCCTCCCTGTTTTTCAAGAAGGATCAAAGTGGGGGCCAGGAGAATGTATCTGTATCTGACTATGTCTCTTCACACTGGGGACTCTTTGGGGACCATGCCACGGACCTCTTTAGGTCCCTAACTCTGGGTCCATGGCAGGGAATGTTTGCTGAATGTGTAAATGGTTTCTGCTTGGCAAACTCCTCTTCACCCTTTAGAACCTACCCCAGATGTCCCCTCCTCTGAGAAGCCCTCCAGGGATATGAAGGGGCTATTGGGGTAACCTCTGCCTGAACAGCCCTTCACTGACTCCCTAGGACATGTTTGCCTTTATGGGCAGCCTGGATACCAAGGGGACCAGCTACAAGTATGAGGTGGCGCTGGCTGGGCCTGCCCTGGAGTTGCACAACTGCATGGCGAAACTGTTGGCTCACCCCCTGCAGCGGCCCTGCCAGAGCCATGCTTCCTACAGCCTCCTGGAGGAGGAGGACGAGGCCACTGAGGTCGAGGCCACTGTCTGAACCTCCCCTGTACCTCTGCACCTTCTTGTGCAAGGAAGCCCTTGGCCTGAACCCTTGGTTCTCCACTTGGGTTCCTTGAGACCTCTGGGGGGTTCCAGGAGGCACCTAGGATGCCTTGCAGGGTCCTGGGAGGGAAACCCAGGATTCCAGGAGGGATCCCAGGAACTCTGGACACCTGTCTTCCGTGTTTCCCTGCCCATTCCCACTCCTAGTTTGCCATGGTTAATTTTCGTCCTTTCCTGTGTGATTTTTGTCATCAAAATAAAAACTTGAGAGTCATTAACTGTAGTCCACGCCTGTCACTTTGTGTTAATTTGGATCATCTTGGTTGTAAGTGACAGAAAAATTATCCACTGAGCAAAGGTGAGTGGCTGCTTTCTTGGTGATGAAAAAGCCCCTGGGATGTGGAGGTTGCAGTGAGTTGAGATCATACCACTGTACTCCAGCCTGGAGACAGAGCGAGAGCCTTACTCATTTATTAAAAAAGAAAAATGTGGCCGGGCGCAGTGGCTTAACGCCTGTAATACCAGCACTTTGGGGGACTGAGGAGGACAGATCATGAGATCAGGAGTTTGAGACCAGCCTGAGTAACATGGTGAAACCCCATCTCTACTAAAAAAAAAAATTGCTTTTTGTGGTGGTGTGCGCCTGTAATCCCAACTACTCAGGAGGCTGAGGCAGGAGAATCACTTGAACCTGGGAGGCGGAGGTTGCAGTGAACCAAGAATGTGCCACTGTACTCCAGCCTGGGTGACAGGGCAAGACTCCATCTCAAAAGAAAAAAGGAAAATTCAAAAATAAAAATGCTGTAATCTCAGGATTTTGGGAGGCCGAGGTGGGCAGATCACGAGGTCAAGAGACCAAGATCATCCTGGCCAACATAGTGAAACCTCATCTCTACTAAAAATACAAAAATTAGCTGGGTGTGGTGGCATGCCCCTATAGTCCCAGCTACTAGGGAGGCTGAGGCAGGAGAATTGCTTCAACCTAGGAGGTGGAGGTTGCAGTGAGCCAAGATCGTGCCACTGCACTCCAACCTGGGTGACAGAGTGAGACCCTGTCTCAGGAAAAAAAAAAAAAAGGCAGGGCCTCACTCTGTTGTCCGGGCTGGTCTCAACTCCTGCGCTTACAAAAAGAAAAGAAAAACCAGCAACAGCAAACTACTAGGCTAAAGTGCTTCTCCCACCCCAGCCTCCCAAAGCACTATAGTTAAAGGAGTGACCCAGGGCCCTTGGCCTGGGGGTTGACTATTGAAGCCTCTTATTTATTTATTTATGTATTTTCTGGGACAGAGTTTTGCTCTGTTGCCCAGTGTAGGGTCCACTCCTGCAGGGTTCTGTGAGCCACCCCTGGCTGGTGCTGAAACAAGAAATTATAGAAATGTAAGACACAAGACACAAAGATAAAGAGAGTTTGGGCCCAGGGGTCCACTGCTACCCAAATCGTGGAAACCAGCAGTGGCCCGGAACGCCTCAGGATGCTCTCACTTTTATTGAGTTGCAAATCTGGGGGCAGGGGCAGTAGGGCAGGGTAATGATAGGGTCAAGTACATCACGTGTCATTCAGGTAGGGCCTGGGGGGGAATTTCTGGCACCCGAATTGAGGTAAGGAGCACGGTGGATCAGCACTTTTTCCATACGTGAAAGAACTAAAACATGAAGATCTATAAACGTTACTATTACTGGTTATGTTTTCTAAGACAAAAGGAGCCAGGTGCAGAAGCAGAACATGAGAGTGGGCATGGGACGTGACCGCTGAAGCACAGCATCACGTAGACACAGTGAAGCCCCCGGATGTCTGCGGGTTTCCCTGACAGCCGTCAGGCCTTACCACAAGAGCTTGGAGAAGCGGAGTTTTCTCCTAACTCCCCCAGGAGGGAGAGGTCTCGGTCATTTTGGACGTCTCCTCCCCTAGCTGGCTAAACAGCGGGCGCTGCCGCACAGCCGAGGCGCCCTCCAGCAGCCCTTATGCGGGCGTGACAGAGGCTCAGAGCAGCTTGCCTTAGTGTCGTTCATTTCACAATGTCACCCCAGGTTCACACTCCCGACCTGATAGGCATTAGTAAAGGAATTAAGATCACCTATGAATAACTAAGATCACATATGAGTAACTAACTACTACCGTTATGTTTCTAGTTACTTTCTTCTTCATTATTGATAAGGAAATAGGCTGAGGCCTTTTGCTCCTGCCTTTGCGCTCATGAGATCTCCCCGCTACAGCCCAGGCTGGAGTGCAGTGGTGCAATCACAGCTCACTGTATCCTCAAACTTCTAGGCTCAGGAGAGCCTACCAACTCAGCCTCCCAAATAGCTGGGATCACAGGCACAAGCCACCACACCCGGCTATTTTTTGTATTTTTTGTGGGGTCAGGGTTTATCCAGGTTTCCCAGGCTGGCCTCGAAACTCTGGAACTCATGCAACCCTCCCGCCTGGGCCTCCCAAAGTGCTAGGATTACAGGTGTTAGCCACCGGGCCGGGCCGAAGCCTCTCATAACGCCGTGCGCCCTCCAAGAGGCCACCCTGGCAGAAGATTTTCCGAGACCTAATACCCTGGGCACCCCGGACTTTCCTCATCATAGCTCCACCCACTCGAGCAGGGGGCGTTCGTTCGTGTTTCCCGTTTTGAAATGAGATAATGGCACACCCGGTGGCATCCTCCCGCCCGGGCTCTTATCGGTGGCCCCAGCCCCTGCTTGAGCGCCTCTGGTTGTCTCGGGTCCCTGCGGACACTAATGCGCTCGAACCCCGATGTGGGCCCCGGTGCGGCGGCGCGGGGCAGCCTGGCTGGGGACCCTGCTCAGCCCCCGAGAGGGGCGTCCCGAGCCGAGGGGCGGAGCGGCGCATGCCCGCAAGTCCGCCGCGGGAAGTAGGAAATCGACTGTCCGGGCGGTGCGCTTCGAACCCGGCCGGGGCATGTGCTCCACTGCCGGCCTGGCGCACCGGTTGCGGGAGGCGCTGCGGGAGGAGTCGTCCTGGTGAGGGCGGGGCCGGGGGCGGGCCAGGAGTGGGGGCCTTTGGCCGGGGTCCACTCTGACCCCGGTGTTTGCAGGGCGGTGGAGGAGCTGCTGCGCCGAGGGGCTGACCCTAATCTGGTGCTGGAGGACGGCGCAGCGGCCGTGCACTTGGCGGCCAGAGCCAGGGACCCGCGCGGCCTGCGCTGCCTCGGGGTCCTGCTGCGCCGAGGCGGGGACCCCAACGCTCGGTAAGGCGGAGCCTGGGCCTGCGGCGGGGTCTCCAGAAGCCGAAGTCTGGGAATCCGGAAAGGGACGCCCCACTATCCGGGGCCAGGGCCTCAGGGCCCGAGAGTGGGGTTTGGGGGATCTAGCAGAGGGAACTTCGGGGGTCTAAGTGCAGGGGCCAGGGCTCGAGGGATGCGCTGGGGTCCCAGACCGAGGGCGGGGAATGGGACTGCGCTAGGACCAAAATGAGGATCAAGGGTGCAGATCTGGGGGTGGAAGCTCCAGGGTCAGACGGCAGAGGTTTGGGTCCTGGCCTGAGGTCATAGCTTCTAGGTTCCAAAGGCAGTGTCCCAGGCTGGACGGTGGAGATGGGGGGCCGAGAACTAAGACTCCGGGTCCCCAGAGCGGAGACTGGGGTTCTTGCCGGGAGGCTGAGTCCGCAGTAACCCCTCTTGCGCTGCTGCCCTAGATCTGTCGAGGCGCTGACACCGCTGCATGTGGCCGCCGCCTGGGGCTGTCGCCGCGGCCTGGAGCTGCTGCTGAGCCACGGAGCGGACCCGGCGCTGCGCGACCAGGTTGGGAGGCACTGCGAGGGCAAAGCAAGGCTGGAGAGCCCAGAGGGAGGGGGGAGGAGGGAGAGAGGGAGGGAGCCGGGGCGGTGGTGGGGGGGAGCGGGGAGGGAGGGGAGAAGGGCCTCGGACGCCCCCTGCTGACCGCGCCGCTGTAGGACGGTCTCCGGCCGCTGGACCTGGCCTTGCAGCAGGGACACGTGGACTGCGCGAGAGTCCTGCGGGATCTCCACACGCGGACCGGGACCCGGACGATCGGGGCAGAGACCCAGGAGCCGGAGCCGGAGCCGGAGCCGGAGCCTGGCAGTGAGTAGGGGCTGCGGGGCTGCTGGGGCTTGACTTCTGCGCCAGTCTCTGGCATCCACTGTTTCTCCCACCCCGCCCATTGGTTGTGACTGTCTCATGTCCACTGTCTGTGGCCAGCTCTGTCTGTCTCAGACACTCCGATGTCCTTTTTCTGTCTGTCTGATCCTATTCCCGTCCCTGACTCATCCCTCCTCCTCCCCTCTCTGGCCCTCACTCTCGCCTGCAGTCCCGGGCCTCTCTGGACCTCCCGATGAGACGCTGGATTCCATCGCTCAACAAACGCAGCCATGCAGAGGTGACAACAGGGACATGAGCTTGGAGGCTGACCCCGGACGCCCCAGCCTCCCTGTTCCCCTTAAAATTGTGGACAAAGATGGGAGCTCAGCATCCCCTCCAGGGCACTGGGATTGCAGCTCCGAGGCCTCTTTCGTCACTGCATTTGAGGTCTCTGGAGCCGAGGACCCAGCCTTGAACACTCCCCCCTGGGCTGGTTCATTGCCACGGACCAGGCAGGGGCTTCTGCATGTTGTCTGTGCCACCCAGAGGGTACCTAGGTCTCAGGGCACAGAGGCAGAACTGAATACCCGTCTGCAGGCGCTGACTCTGACCCCACCAAATGCTGCTGGCTTCCAGTCCTCCCCCTCCTCCACGCCTCTCCTGGACAGCATGCCTGCTCATAGCCCCCCACAGACACCACCCCCTGGAGCCTCTAACTGCCACTGCCTTCGGGAGGACGAGGCATCCATTGATAGTGACATGGCCACGCTCTGGCTGACAGAGGACGAGGCAAGCTCTACAGGTGGCAGGGACCCTGTTGCCCCTTGTCAGCACCTGCCAGTGCCCACGCTGTGTGACCTGGAGTTGCTGCAAGGGCTCCGAGCGCTTGGTGAGAATCCTGGCCCCATCACACCCTTCACCCGGCAGTTCTACCTCCAACGGCTGCAGGAAACCCAGATTGTCCCTGGTTAGTCTCTCCCGGGCACACGGAATCCAGGGAGCCTCCAGGAATCTCCCAGAGAACCCCAGCTCTCCGTCCAACTTTCCTCCTCATCTTACAACCATCTTTCCTCCATCTCCCTTGACTCCCAGGCCCAGACTTTGCAGGGCACAGCCTTGAACTGGCTGCAGCCCTGCGGACCGGCCGTATTCCAGATGCCCAGGCAGACGAAAACGCATTGGCCCAGCAGTTTGAGCGGCCAGATCCTGCCAGGAGGTGGCGGGAGGGGGTCG